CAGGGAGAAAGACCTCGGGGTGACCATAACACCGAGCACGTCACCGGAGGCACACATCAACCAAATAACCGCTGCAGCATACAGGCGCCTGGCAAACCTGAGAATAGCGTTCCGATACCTTAATAAGGAATCGTTCAAGACACTGTACACTGTGTATGTTAGGCCCATACTGGAGTATGCAGCACCAGTCTGGAACCCACACCTGGTCAAGCACGTCAAGAAGTTAGAGAAAGTACAAAGGTTTGCAACAAGGCTAGTCCCAGAGCTCAGGAGAATGTCGTACGAGGAAAGGTTGAGGGAAATCGGACTGACGACACTGGAGGACACAACAGAAGGGTCAGGGGAGACATGATAACGACATACAAGATACTGCGGGGAATAGACAAGGTGGACAGAGATAGAATGTCCCAGAGAGAGGACACAGAAACAAGGGGTCACAACTGGAAGCTGAAGACTCAGACGAGTCACAGGGATGTTAGGAAGTATTTCTTCAGTCACAGAGTCGTCAGGAAGTGGAATAACTTAGCAAGTGAAGTAGTGGAGGCAGGAACCATACATAGTTTTAAGAAGAGGTATGACAAAGCTCAGGAAGCAGATAGGGAGAGGACCTAGTAGCGATCCCAGTGGAAGAGGGCGGTCCAGAGCTGAGGTCTCGACCCTGCAACCACAATTTAGTGTGAGTACAATAAGGATGAGTACACACACACACCACTACACACACACAAACACACACAAACACACAATCACACACACACACACACATACCACACAACTCACCCATACACCACACACACACACAACACACACACACACACACACACATCACACATACACACACACATACACACACACACACACATACACACACACACATTACACACACACATACACACACACACACTTACACACACACACACACATACAACACCACATACACAAACACACACATACACACACACACACACACACACACACACACACACACACACACACACACATACACACACAACACACACTTACACATCAACACAACATACACAACACACACACACACACACACGCACACACACACAGCACACACACATACACTCACACACACACACACACACAACACATACACACCCCACCATACACACACACACAACACACAACATACACACAAACACCATACACACACAACACATACACACACACACATACACACACACACACAACACACACAACCCCACACATACACACATACACAAACACACACATACCACACACACACCACACACACCAAACAACACACAGACACCACACAACACAACAGCACACCACACACACACACACACACATACACACACACCACACATACACACACACACTGCAACAACAGCAGTGTTGTCCAACACTGCAACACAGGCATGTTGTTCCACACTGCAAACTCAGCATGTTTCACACTGCCAACTCAGCATTGTTCAACACAGCAACACAGCATGTATTGTTCAACACTGCAACACAAAAGCATGTTGTCAACACTGCAACACAGCAATGTTGTCACACTGGGCAACCCAGCATTTGTCAACACTGCAACACAGCCTATAGTCCAACACTGAAAAAATAAAACAACACAGCATATTGTCAACACTGGCAACAACAGCATGTTGTCAACACTGCAACACAGCATGTTGTCACACTGCAACACAGCATGTTTGTCAACACGCAACCACAGCATGTTGTCAAAAACTGCAACACAGCAATTTGTCAACACTGCAACACAGCATGTTTGTCAATACTGCAACACAGCATGTTGTCACACTGCAACACATCAATGTTGTCACACAGCAACACAGCATGTTGTCAACACTGCAACAACAGCAATGTTGTCAACACTGCAACACACATGTTTGTCAGCACAGCAACACAGCTGTTGTCAAACAACTGCAACAACAGCATGTATTTCAACACTGCAACACAGCAATTGTCAACACTGCACAGAGCAGCCATGTTGTCACACTGCAACAAGCATGTTGTCAACACTGAACACAGCATGTTGTCAACACTGCAACACAGCAATGTTGTCAACACACTGCAACACAGCATGTTTGTCAACACTGCAACACAGCATGTTGTCAACACTGCAACACAGCATGCTTTCAACACTGCAAACACAGCAATGTTGTCAACACTGCAACACAGCATGATTGTCCAACACTGCAACACAGCATGTTGACAACACTGCAACACAGCAATGTTGTCAACACTGCAAGACAGCATGAGTTTTCAACACTGCAACACAGCATGTCGTCAACAGCTGCAACACAGGCAGTGTTTCCAACACTGCAACACAGCATGTTGTCAACACAGCCAACACAGCATGTTGTCAACACTGCAACACAGCATGTTTTCAACACTGCAATCACAGGCATGTGTCAACACTGCAACACAGCATGTTGTCAACATACTGCAACAACACAGCATGTTGTCAACACTGACAAACTCAGCATGTTGTCAACAC